CGGACAGGTCGAGAGACTGCAAACTTCTCAGATCCTTTATGGCCACGTTGGATAATTTTATGAGCCGGTTGTCATGAAGATTTAGGTCCTGAACGAACCTCATCTGCGACAGAGCGTAATTGACCAAGTCGGTTATCATGTTGTTTGACAAATCGAGTTGGATTGTGTCAATTGGTAGATTCTGTGGTGAAGTAGGCAGTTCCAGACCTGTGCAGTCGACCTTTCCCGCGTCACATTTGCAGAGCTCCGGACAAATGACGTCCTCGTATACAGGGAGCATCATGTAAGCTGTCAACAAGGAACCCTGGTCGTTACACAGTAGAGCCTCCTCTGGCACCCATTCCAGCTTCCTCTGGTAGAGAAATGGTGGTGACACACAGGTCACGTCGTCCATCGATATCACCACACTGGTGGTCTTGACCCAGTGGAAGAATCCCCGCAGGCGACAGTCGCACTCCAGCTCCAAACCTTTAATATCCAGACTGTCCAGGCGGGGCAGCTGGGAGAACGTGTCAGGTGCCAGTCTGGTGAGAGGGTTCAGTGATAAGTGCAGGTGCTTCAGTTTCCGCAAGGGGTACAAGTCCCAGGGGTGCACATTTCGGATCGCGTTCTTGTCCAGCAGAAGTGTCTCTATGTTGGACGTACCTTCTAATGTGACGGGGACCTCTGTGAGATTGTTTTCCTGTAGGTTTAGGAACTCCAAATGGGATAGTCCATGAAAGGCACGAGGGTGGATTGACACAATCCCGCCATCCTTTAGTATGAGCTTGCGCAGATTTGGGGTCTCAGCGAAAGAGTCGTCTGGGACGGTGATGATTTGGTTGTGGCTCAAATCCAGGGTTGTCAGAAGTGGCATGTAGAGGAGCTGGCTAAATGGGATTTTCGTCAGACATGTTTCAGATAGGTCGAGATTGAGGATCCCAGGTACGCCTTGAAATGCTTCTCGTTCAACGGCTTTGATACAATTATTTGACAGTAAAAGTTTCTTCAAACCAGGAGCGCCTGAGAATGCCTCGTTCCCGATGTGATTGATGTTATTATCACGGAGAGAAAGTCCTCGTAAGTTTGGTACATAGGAAATGGCCTCGGATGGAATCTGTGACAGTCTGTTGGAGACCAGGGTCAACTCTTGAAGGTTCATTAACCAGGCAAATGCAGGTCCTGGGATCGCCTCCAGAGCGTTTCCGTCCAAGTGTAAGCGGACAAGTGCCGTCAAGTCACCCAGGCTGTTGCCGTTGAAGGAGGTGAGTTTGTTCTGACGCAGGTCCAGGGTTACAAGTGAACGGAGGCCGTACAACTCAGCTCTTTTTACAGTTCGTATCAGGTTGTTACTGACGTCCAGAATTCTGGTGTCTTTTGGAATCTTCGGGATAAACTTCAGGCCTAGGGAACTGCAGTCCACCTTTAACTCGACAGGATCGCACCTGCACGGTGTCGCAACGCAAGGGCTCCACTGGGCCCTGCCCGTCATGACGGCGGCGCTCCAGACGACAAGAAAGACACACAGGAGTCGTGTCGGGGATACTCCCGATGACGTCATGGTGGTGGCAGTTCAGGTTAGTCTTGAAGAAAAGCAAAAGCGAGTGAAAATGAGGATGATAATAGAAGAACAGGGAGAGGTCGTTGAAAAAAGGATAGCGTAAAGGAAAGAGAAATGTCATGTAAATAAAACAGTCGAAATCTAAAAAAATATGATAAAAGATGATAAAATATGAGAAAAGTTCAGGTAATGAATAAATACATGCAGAACCAAACGCCTCATGTTCAATCTGTGATTTGCCCTGTTGCATCATCTCTAGACAGTCACGTATGAGTTACTGGCATGTGTGCTGCTCAAATTAAGAAAACATTATATAATTCAGATGTCCTTGGGAACTCAGAAATGGCAGATAAATAATTTAGAGGAAGAAGGAAAGGACATTCGTAGACCCTTTGCACACGCCTGAGAGTCTCCAAGGTATTGATCTGTGCGTTGTAGAGATCCGAAGTCCGAATGCGCCCAAATGTGTGTCAGGATAAAGAAAAAACAACTTTGCAGGGCGAAAGGAGAACTGTGTCCCGTCAGCCAAGAACCATTACTTACTTGACACCGTTACATAACGACCAACAGGTGGTTGCCAATTTTCTGCTAAGATGAGATACGGTTTAATGGTTTAATACCTCCTTCAGAAGGTCCCGGTTCCACGCGTGTGTGGATACATTCTCGCGCTGCCGTCACAAGTTTCCACGGCGACTTTAGCAACGTAGAAAGGGGTCTTGTCCACTGAGTTCATCGAATAAGACTTCAAACAAATGTTCGCTTGCCAAATGAGCAGCTTGGCAGGCAGGAATAGACATCCGTGGTTCGCTGTACTTCGTCAGACGTAATTTGTCAACGTGGCTCTGAGGGGGGACGTTAAATCTGTCTAAGTTTTTTGTCTCGCGCTTTGCTGCTCGTTCTCGGTGTCTCTTTTTTGAAGTCGATATCTATCGTGACGGCCGTCGATCAGTCTTTAAAAAGAAAAGCAAACTAATTTCCTAATCGGGAAACAGGGTGTGGAAATGTAGAGGAGCCATTTGGGGAGTGAAACTGTCTTTGCAAAAAAGAAGAAATAAAAAACGACGGTATCAAAACGATGCGCTAGTTACATGTGTTGAAGATGGTTTCTTTCGTCAGGACATCCTATCTTTTGTACTTGCAGCTGAACGTCCAATTTAGATACGTTTTGTCTTCGTCTTAAGCCTGGTTGAACTTTATAAACGCTTTTGTCAACTGAGATTATGAAAATGCAGAATCAGCCGGGAGTTTGCTGACTTGCAGTATTGAAATATTTAGCCGCGACAGGATGTGTCTGTAAAAGAGTTACATTTTGCCAAGTCGTCGGCCCTGTTCTGGCAAGGTTGGTACGTCACAAATCACAGTTGTCTCGCAGGTGTGCTGTCTGAGCCAACGTCTGACCAATCAGGCATGTACAAGTCATTTGTTGAGCATGCGGAGATGAAAAGTCAATGACTCGACACAAAATTGACTTGATGAAGAACAAATGTTACAAATTTACAAGTCTGCATACCGACACGTAATGTGGGCCATCGAGGTGGTAGGCGCTCCCTCCAGCTACAGCTTGTTTCGATCAAGATCATTTCTAGAACTTTCCCGTGCTATTGGCACATTATATACTGTACAGTGTCACCACTTTTTCAGGGAAAAAGGAAGTGTAAATACTTGAAATGGTCGGAAAGGTACATATTTCTGTCAACTTTTCTATACGCTTACAGGAGACAATACTATTTCATCAAGCATGGGAAATCCAAAGTCTACGCCACATGACACTGGCGGCCCACACAGAAGCATGTATCAACAGAGCTCCTTTGTTTCCGTGGGAGTCAGGTAACCCAAACATCGCACACAACTCGTGGGTCTATGGTAACACAGTTTTAGCCGTACTATTGTATCATACTACGATCTACGCACTGGTCATATAAATGCGGAAAACATTTTGAATAGGTCTTCAGCATTTTCTGTAATCCATGCCTTTTCCAGGAATTCATGTCATAAACCTATTGTACAAAGCATGTAAATATAAACAAAAGGAATATAGAAAAAAAAACTTGTTTCTCTGACCGTGTCTGCTGACTACTCCGGCACACACAGCCGATGACTGATGTCCGTGGAGTCTGTCCCAGAACAGACAGATGTTCTCGCGACGACTGCGTCTTGCGTCTAGCGGCACCCGCATCAGTCGCAGGCACGGACACTGCGGCGTGAGCGAGCGAGCTGGCGCACTCTTATAGCCAACATCAAAGCCAAATTAATAATTAACATAAAGGACTGTTTCACATCATCAATGAGTCCACAAAATAGAAGTTGTAAGATTGAGCCGCATATAAATGAAAATGGTGATAGCACAGGACACCTGCCAAAGTAAGGGGAAAAGATCATAAGATCTTAGAAGTGTTCTTAGACATAGATACTAGTATTCATCTCATCATGTCACGCTTAGAACAGCCGAGTAATTCCAATGCAATTTATGTTATCTTAAAGCAAACGCTCAGATATTTGTTAGTGATGTAAGGCATAAATTGGACTTGATCTGAAATGCTTTTCATACAATCGGTAGATTACATGTTTATAACTTCTTCAAGAAGGAGCCAAACGTAAACTAACGGAGGGTGGTATCAAGTACATATTCCTGCCCATTGCTTAAAAGATGGGAAGGGCGGGAAGAAGGGTTATTGACCCACAGGACGTCTGCTAAATATAACCTGTGGGGTATGCCAACTCTGTCTGTGCCGACAGACCCAGGTGAAAGCCCTGCCAGTTCCCTTTGTGCCTGGCCTTGACCGTCTGTCTGGACGTGGAACGTGCAGGCAGACCGAACCAACTTACTCATAAAAAAAGTTACTCAAGCGAGGTTCTCAAAAATAAAACGACGCTGACAGGAACTTGTGATTATCATGCACAGTGTAGTCACTAGACAAACGTTGTTTTTATGTTCATATTAATGTCTCTGATTAAAAACAACAGATAAAAATCGTGTTTCTTTTTTGCGTCTAGGAAGCAAGCCAAAAAAATTTGGGAGGAAATGTCCTGTGTCAGTAAGCATACATGCATGTAGGCCTGGTATACGAGTTACGGGCTCACCTGGTCCAATTGTGAGTCCGCCCGTACTAAGGGGTCAGGAAGTGGTGCTTCGGTCGTGTCAGGGCGGGGGTGACTATGAAATGTTGTTCATTACTAGACAACCTCTGGGCGTGGTCCCTTAAATGCTGCCAAGTGTAATCAGATGGGGAACATTTTGACTCGAACCTGCACATTCCAAGTGGGCGTACATTTTGCTATCTCAGACATTTTTCTGGCCATCGTCATGCTTGGCGCTACGGGCGCTTGCTAATAGCCAACCCAAAGTATCGCAGTATCCAAATTATTACCGTCATAATTATAATCTTTGAGGCACGCGATCAAGCTTTTAAAAGAACTATTAAAATACTTTTAACGTCAGGAAACGAAGCTGCTCTAGATATCGATCACAAGCAATGTCAGAAAGATTTATTCTGTTTCACTGTACATACATTGTTCTGTATCATTAAATATTTCTTGATAGAAAATACTGGCTATTGAATCTGAAACATGTAACGTTACGTGTTATAATTTCTCCTTACGACTTGTTCCCAGAGTGTTTATATTGTACAAAGCTGATGAACTGTCTTTTTCCAATGGTGTTACCAGTGGAGCTCTCTCTGAGAGTTGTTCATGCTTCAAAAAACTCCATATTTTACATGGAATCTGGACAATCTGGAATGGTCGATACTAAATCCGACAAGACTTTAAGACTGACGATTGGAAAATAATATTGTACACGGTAGCCTGAGTGGCGCTCGTCTGGTTATGGTTGCTGATATTGATAATATGATCCATCATCGGATTCAGATAGGCATAAGTACGATCCATAGCAGATTCATGACATTTTCAGATCTCGAACATGATAAAGCTAAGCACTTGTGAGCTCATCAGAAGCATTGTGCGCCATGATGGTTAGGCTCTCTGTGAGATCGTCAGAAGCCTTGTCTAATCATGACGACGTTAGCCCGCGCCACGGGAGTGAGATCCCGCCACACGGCCGGGTTCAAGAAGTCCATCCGCAGCATGTCCTGTAGTTTGAACATGACCAAGCCGGTCGACTCGTCTGCCTCCGCCTGGCCGCCCGCCTGGTACCGCGCCTGGACCTCCTCTGCTGTCAGACTGCACCTGGGAAGTAAAATACAAAAGGCGGGAGGTTTAATAGACAACGAAGTAAAGAGACAATATTGCATGCCTTGCAACGATCTCATTAGAATTTTTATTGACGCACTTAAAATTCTCCTAACAGCTGTGCCTTAAGTTGAAGAATGGAATCTGTTTCATAGCGTATACCTGACAATGAACTCCACACTGGGCCGCCCGCCTGACTTGTGGTTTCCGTTCACCCCCAGCAGGCGGGGTTCACTGAGGAAGGACTCGGGAATGTTTATCTGGAATGGAACGGCAAATGTTAAGGCTATGTGGCTTATACATATTATTCCCGGCTTATATTGTGGTGTTGTGTAACGTTTGGACGTAGCGTCAGTAACCTTGAGGATATTAGTGGGTGAGGCGACAGGTTATCTGTGTTACTTTGTTTTGGCTCGTCCTTCGAAATGTTCCGTGACCCGAAAGCACTCTATAGTAATGAAGGGAAAGCATTCTTTACAAACAGGATTTTCTCACAGCTTTGCACAGTCTCACAATTACAAAGGACTGCGCATTAAGGTGGCTGTAATTATGGTCATTTATTAAAATTGTTAGTAACTCAGCCC